CTATACTGAAAAGGAAGTAACAAAAAGACAAGAAATAGTCTCTTGTCTTTTTGGGTACGAAAGTACATGTTGATCAATTAGGAAGTTTGGAACAATATTTGAAAGAATACATTCCGATACTGCTTTATATCAATGATCAGATCAACAACCAATCATATTCAAGTGACCATCTTTAAAAAAGATTCCACCATCAACCCACCTAACAACTCTATAGAAGTTGACCTATGAAACCATAAAAGAACCTTGGCTCATGAGAGTTTTATATTTGAGTTTAGAAAAAGAACCCTATAAAGTCTATTTACTTGATTGAGCAAACCCCTATATTATTTACTAGATTAAGCAAACCTTTGTATTTTGACCTTATAAATGTGGAGAGAATCTAGAGGGAGTGCCACAAAAAAAAGGCATTTTAGAATGTTATGTTGGTAAGAAAATGGTAGATTAAAATATATGTTATATGTAAATTATATAAGCAAAAGCGATTCTTGTAGTAGCGGCGAACGAAATTGTCTGGATATAAAATGTTTTGTAATTGATTTGAACTTATTCTTGAATAACCAAAAAGATGGTGTTTGATTGGTTTAAGCTTGGACTCCAAAGGTTAAAAGTGCTTGGAGGTCCCAGGTTTGAATCCAAGGAAGAATAAGAAATCCCCTTGTGGCCATGGGGGTTCAAAGGCGGTGACTCCGTGTAACATCCTAAATATTTCAAATACTTCAATATAACAAAACTAGTATCCCAAGATCAAATACTTACATTGAAGCGAAAATAAAATCTCTAATCTTACAAATTATATCACCATCTAAAATTACAATCTTGACGAACATAACTTTGCTCTATATAACAATGTTTTGATCTGCACATATCATTCTTTGGTGATAATCCTTAGGGGGTGTTTGAGATTGCTATGCTTATTAACTTATGTGGTATCAAAACGGAGTTTTGTAAACAGAGTTAAAATGGTAAACTGGTAATAAGTTGATTTTCACAAGTCAAGAAGGATTAACTTATCAAAAATTGCTTATTACAGGTTTGGCACCGGTATAAGTAGTTTTTTTTCCTTATCCAAACACTAGGAAACAACTTATCACCGGTGCCAGACTGAAATAGATTAAAAAACAGCTTTCATAAGCAATCCCAAACACCCCCTTATATCTCTCTTTATTTCTCACTTTTCTTTCCAGTCTAATAACCGCCTGGGTGAAAAAGTTTTATAAGAGTTTTGGGTGAGTCTCAGGCCCAATGAATCCACGGTTTTCATGCATGAACAACAACTTTTACAATAAACAATTTTCACTAAGCTTCATAAATTAAGCATGCCATGATGAGAATAATACTTTTTACAAAATAAAGGTATTACTGTGGGTGACTATATCACAAAGCAACGACGTCATGAGAGATGTCTACCTCACGCAACATTACATGGCAAACTCACACAATATGTCCGCACTTACAGCTTAGACAAGCTTACAAAGCATGCTTGTCATTATAAAATCATACTGTAGTACATCCCCATTACCACGCAAATATTCAAAACACATATTATAAAAATATCGAACTTTTCACGCATATATAACATTTCAAAAATCTTGAGAAACTTCAATCAAGCTTGTGGATAATTATAAATAAGGCATGCAATCATTTTTAAAATAAATCACGTGTAACTCACCATACATGTCGTAGTCCAAACCGATCTTTGAAGTGACCAGCGTCTCCCCGATTGGTGCCAAACTAGCTATAATATAGAGAACCATCAACTCTCATTACAGCGTCCATCGTCGTCTTTTCTCACAATAGTTCTCCTTATTAACCCAAACTTCACATAAAACTACAAACTCCCATTTTATACCAAGCCATCGACGGTTTCATGGAAGATGAAACGATAAGCCATGATTAATGGATGGAGGTTTCATGACCATTGGGTTTTATGTCATTGAATTACATACAATTTTAGGGTCTAAACCCTTCAATTTGATTGCATTTACAGTACAAGTCCTTGAAATTTAATGATTACCAATTCTTTTCCTCTTTTTTTTTCTGGTTATTACACTTCGGGCTACCCTCAAAGTGGGTGATCACCCTGAGATTAGTCGGCTCGCATAGCGAATTGGATATCCATGTTAATAAAAATTTTAATTTCTAGAAAAATTAAGATGTAGAATATTATTTATGTCAAATATAACGCCTGTTATTTTTCTAAATTGGTTTTATAAATCATGAAAAGATTTACGTATTACAATAAAATTGAGTTTATAGAACACTAAAAACTTTTGAGAAGTTAATAGATTGTTTTATAAGACTTGCGTTTATAAGATCAAAAAATTGTACATCATAAATAAAAAATGTTACAATAAATTGATATTGTTGTTTTGGTTGTCGTAAAAAGTTATTTTAAAGGCATTTTTTAAATAAAGATCGTATTAGTTTTTTTAATGATACTCTTTAGAAATATCTTATGGGACACATTTTTATAATATGATTTTCAAATAATGTCACATAAAAAAATTAATACGACTCTTTATTTCAAAATTATTCTAAAATATTGTTAAAATCGCTCAAAAGAGTCCTATAAATTTATTACAACACATTTTCATAAAATGTACAATTGTTTGGTCATATAACTTAAATCCTATAAAACCAGTCTGTTAGAATACTCATATATTTTTGACATCATATACACCCAAATTTGTGGTAGTGAAATCAAACTTCCAATTTATAACCGATGTTTACAAATACTATGGAACCCGTTTGGGTTTCTTAAAAATGTAAACACTTGTCAAACTCGCTTTCTACTTTCAGAAACGTGAAGACAAAAATAGACAACAAGAATATCAATAACCCCTAAAAGCAACACTTTCTAAGTTTTATGTATCTTGGAATTTATTCTTATCAACGTCCATACGAATAAGACCTAATTTGAGCCATCAATGTTGCTACAAATATGCCATACAACCAAAAGCAACAAATACAAGGTCGAGAACTTGTTTCCCCAATTTCAAACACTTTTTTACCTCTTTATAAAGAGCTTTCAGTTGTTACTAAATTTTCTACGTATTATGCACACACACACTCACATTGTAGAAATAAGGGAGCAGATAGAAAGCATGGCAGAGATGAATTCTACTTGCAACAATCACAGGTCAGCGTTATCTACTATTTATCACATATACGAAACACTTCTTTTAATTTGTTTACTGTTGAAAAGGAAAAATTTGAAACAATCGCAGGTGCATCCTGATTTGAATGATAGTTTGCATGATATGCCAACACTAGCACGTTATAAAACGTACGTGAGTACACATGCTTTTATGGTGATCATAAACAAGAACAAGAGAATATTATTTGCTCAACTAGCATCTCGTGCACAGTTTTCAATGCTACTTAACTTTGACTTTTGATGTATCACCAACGTCCCCTGCTCATGTGTTAGCATGATTTACTACGATAATCACCACCACCGTCACTGCCATTACCTACCATCTTCTGATCCCTCATTGACGAGGTTTAATAACCAATTTATCCTCTATGCATCCTCCCTTTATATAGTTAATATACGCAACCACACTTATAATCTTGCTAATCTCACAGCATACTTTATCTTACATCTACGATGATGATTGACTGTTAGTGAGTTTCCCGTCACTATTCTATCTTCTAGGTCTCAAATATTCGTCATCTTCAATTGCAATTTTCGCCACACGTCTTTGGACTTGTAGTTCCTAACCTTTGTAATCTACATTTCGTTCATAAAATATTTTATACCTATATGTTTTTTGATTTCATTAATAAAGGCTTTTGTCCCTTATTATATAATCTACTGATGATCATTTTAGGTCGTTGCACGAGCCATTATATGCTACCTATGTAGGGGTTATGGCCATATTGATGCAGACAATTGCTGGAATGATCGAATTCACACCGAAAAACAAGAAACGCATGGGAGTTGCCTTGGCAACTCTACTCATGAATTTTATTGCGGCATTATGGAAATTCTCTTTGACAAGTAATGTACAACACAGTTACTGGAAAGCTACAATTTTCGACATTGTCTTTACCTTTACAGGTACCTTGTCTCCATACTCAGCATTCTCCATGCTTATACCAGAATGGCTCACTTGTCATGGCTTTGCCATCGTATGCACTGTTGTGACCTTGGTAAGTGGTTATAAGAAGTTACAACTCATACTCATGTGGTTTTATCAAAAACTTCTTGATTCTATGAAGTACGTGAACGAAAAGCTGTCAATGTGGATCTTGGGAAGTCAGTTGCCAACAGATGCTATTGTGCTCCAAGTCTAAAACGAAGCCATACAATGTATATATCATTGTCATAAGTACCGCAAAACATTGAAACCATCAACTGCAATACACAAGCATTTAATACTTCTTAATTGCTGTTTAGAGTATACAAATTATATTCGAATGTAATAATATTGCATTATGGAAAATAACTCATTGTATATGTTGCATCATCTATGGCTTCTGTTCGCTTTATTATAATATTATCAAAGAGTTGACAGACCAAGTTGCTAACACCATAAAGTAATACCATTCAACAAAGAAAGAAGTACCTCAACTCGTTACGGTAGAGGAACGACTATATCCTCTTCCCTCAGACCTTGCTTTCAAATGAATTACGCTCGTGCGTGTTAACTAAACCATGGATCATCATATTGAACAGTTAAGCTTATAAGATTTTATGGCAATTTGACATAATTGGTCCGATTTTGTCATGCTAATTATTTATGCTTTATTTTTAATATACGGGTTTTTTAAAAAAGTCAACTGTCTTACTTAACTTAGAGAAGAATACGTTTTTTTATATGTACGTGCTCACTTATTACTTAGAGTGAATTACTCTCTTGGTACATAGTCCCTGCTTTTCAATTTATAGCATTTAGAATCTTTAGAGTTAACATTGTCAGTTAGCAACCATAAAGGATAAATTAGTCTTTTATGAACCATCCTCTAAGTGTTAACTCTAAAGATTCTAATCGCTATAAATTCACTCTATTACTTATCAATGTTTCACTTAGAGGATGTTTGGTTTGTTGGATTCCGAATGACAAATCTTCCCCTCTTCAACCCTAGAGATTAGAACACCCACCCCCATAACGAAATAACGATTTCTCTCAAAACTCAAACATCGATCTCGTTCGATCTCACCCTACTGGTATGATTCTCCTTCACGCTTCGAAATCGATTTTTCTGTTTGTTTTTTGAAATCGATTTTGCCCTAAATTGATTTTGATTGTTTGCTTATGAAATATATTTGTTGGTTTTAAAATTGATTTGTTGTTTGCTTATGAAACCGAGTTCTTAAAATAGATTTCATAACAAATGTAACAGATCCATGTTTCCAAATTATGAAATCGATTCTGGTTGTTTGCTTTAAAAGTCGATTTTTGCTTTAGAAGTCGATCTCACCCTACCGTATTTCCTCTGCACATTCGTTAACTCCCAATATAAACTATATGGGTGATGAATAGAATTTTGTGCAAGAAAAGAGGGAAATTGATCTGAAGCAAAAGGATGGGATCTGGTGAGGCTTTGAAAGCTGTGAAGGTTTATAGAGAGCTAATGAAAGCAGTGAAGAAACACGTTGGGAAGGAAGAGCGTAAAGCCCATTTCAGAGACTTGATAAAGTCAGAGTTCAAGAAAAATGGTAATGGTGATGGGTTAGAGCAAAAAGTAAAACTCGCTCATGATTATACTTATCTTTTAAACAGTGTCCATCATCACCAGGTATACATTCTCTTTTTTATCTTTATCAATTTCTCTTCTATTCCCATGTGCTCTTCATTTTACACTACCATGTTGCCCAAGATAATCCGTTGTTAACGAACAGAACGTTCCATTATGATTGTGGATCGTTGTTGGTTTTTGCATATTACGGACAGTTGTAGTCTTTGGTTTTGTGAGAATGTGTAGAATCCCTTTAGATTACTCTCCAAAAAAGCTTTGACGAGATAAAAGGAGGTTCCAACGTATATTGAGCGGGAACAATCCAAGTCTATATGACGTGGGACTTTAACACGCCCCCTCCAACAGAAGCTAGATGGACACAAATTGTCCTAAAGAGTGTCAAGAAGGGGCTGCACGGGTACAGATTGCCCCTCTTTAAAAATAAACCTCGACTCTGATACCATTGTGAGACTAATCTGAATCAGACCCGTTCCTGACATATTTTAGGCCCTGGGCGATATGTGAGAAAGGTGCCCTCGATAAGTACCATATTTTTTCAATATATTGTTTTTATTAACAGAAATAACATTGAATTCATATAATACTGTTTTTCCAAGTAATCCTGGACGCAAAATCAATCAATACTCATTTCTAAATTAATATTATATACTAGAACATTTTTATGTAGCATTGGTAATTTGTTCAAAAACATCCTATGATATACTTTTGGCATATAGAATGACATTATTTGGAGTCACAAAGTTGATTCTTCTGATTTCCGAGTGACACTATGTAAATCAATGTAAATAGGTTRGTTTTCCATGTCATTTTATGTTAATGTTTTTTAACATCATTTTAAACTTTTATATTATGTTTTCGAATTTGGGAAAATTAACACCATTTTAAATTTTTATATTATGTTTTCGAATTTAGGGAGATTAACATCATTTTAAACTTTTATATTATGCTTTCGAATTTGGGAAGGAAATAAAAGAATGGGAAAGGAAAAGAAAGGACGAAAAATAAAGTTTTTTATTTGTGTTTTTAATAGGGAAGAGAGAGGAAGGAAAATAATGAAATAAATAATAAGATTTGATATAATTTTTTTTTTCCATTCCCTAAAAAAATCTTTGAGAACATAATATTTTTCTTCATCCATTACTTTCCTCTCTTTCCTACGTAAAAGAAGACTTAATGACATAGGGTTAGAGTTAAAACAAACTTTTCTAGAATCATAGATTATGTAAATTAAAAAAACTCATGTTGGTGATAGTTTGAGATCATATTCTTCTTTTAGAGATAGAAGAGTACATAAGATTTATATACTCAATATTAGATAATAAAGAACAACTATAAAAAAACAATTATAGTTTTATTATTCTAAATATAGATATAAGTTGTACCGTCTCATATGGTTGGTAATTTTTTTAAAAGATGAGGGTTTTGTTGGCTAATAACAAGAAAATCTAACATATTCTAATATAAAAATAGAACTCACGTGAGGATGGAACAATTAAAAGAGTCGATGAGAGATAAATTATGAAAAATATATCAAATTTTTCGAAGCAAGTAGTTTTAGATAAAAAAAAAAAACTTAGAAAAACATTAAATAATATTATATAATAAACGACATATTAACCTCTTTATGTATTTTTTTTCCCAATATATTTAATTTATACATGTTTGGATCTTTAATAGTTAATGTAGTACTAAAATATTTTCTTGTCATATTAGATACTAATTATTTTATGTCTCTTCTATTTACTAATTTTTTTGAACTACTATTATATATATTAAAAAAATATGGGCCCCTAATTTTTATGGCCTTTGGGCGTACACCCGTCCCGCCCTCCCCCATGGACGGCCCTGATCATAATCCCTTTAGATTACTCGACAAACGAGTTTTTGAGGAAAGAAGGAAGGTTCCAACATATATTGAATAGAGAGGGTCTAATTCTAGTTGACGTGGGACTCTTAACAGGGTTAGAACCAAGTGAGAAAATTTTTCTAGTACGGGGGAAGCAGTATTAGAAATAACAACCAACATTGTGTGAATGTTTACAGGAATAGATGATGTATGGTATGTGCAAGGCTACATTAGTAAGTAGTGAGGTACTACTTACTAATGTGTTTTCTAAGAGCCCGATAGAATGGTTGATGTGCACAATAGTTAATATTTTTATAGTAGAAAAATCGTTTTATGAATGTGGTGGACGACTGTTTGGGGTTTGGTAGGCTCGTCATAGATGAGGCGATGTTGTGTAGTTTGAAGCCAAATCACGGAAGGAAGTATTAAGTATTAAAGATATGTGTGGCGAACTTTCGTTCTTGTTGTTTAAAGTAATAATGGTATGGTTTGATTTGATACCGAATTTGGGTTTGGTTGTGATGGATTGGTGTAGGAGTTGCTATTTTCTTACAACATTGCAGTAGATAGATCAGATGAAATGAAGAAAATACTTGGAAAATCTGCTGCAAGTGTTGGTCTCCAGCTTCCTGATGTTTATCGGCCTTGAAAATTGCTAGGTTATCATCCTTCTCTTAATCCTCTTCATTATGTGCACGTTTTTCGTTATTCCCGTTAGTTTCTTTATCAATTTACAAGTGATGTAATTGCTCAAACATGGTTAGAATCTGGTTTTTGTTTTACTCCTTTTGGCCTTTGATCAGGGGCGGATGTAGCCCTTAAGAACCGGGGGGAAGGCCCCCAAGCAAAGGTCAAAAACGTTTGTTGACTAGCTTAAATTTTCTATTTTTACCCTCCTCTTACATGGTTTCCCCAGTCCCATATGGTCATATGCTTGTCTTCCCCAAGTCTCATCCAACGTGCCCCCACCCCATTAGTTTCCTGGATCTGTCGCTGCCTTTGATGTGCATAGTAGAAAGATTCCTCTTATGATTTTGTTACTTGTTGTGCAGGGAAAGAAGATGAATATGGTTTTGAATGTCTGTGAAGCATCAACATTGTGATAAAACTCCTTTTTCCCCCTTCATTTTGGTGATGCTACAAGAGTCTTGACTTCAAGTAACTCCCAAAGGCATGTAGCTAAGTTCTCAAAGGGACGGAGTGTCTTTGCTCAAATACGTAATAAGTTCTCAAAGGGACAGAGCGACTTTGCTCAAATACGCAACAAGTTCAAGTTTGGATCATGCAGGAGACCTGTTTGAACCTGTCACTAGCCTCAACCGTGGCTGAGTCAACTATGAAATGACTTCTTAGATGTTTAACTAATTATATAAATATAAACAGGTTGGACGGGCTTTTTCGAATCCTTTTGCATTGCCAATACCCCTCCATTAATATTAATGTTCACAATCCCTACACCAATTTTTAAATTCTTGCAATAAATTTGGTTCACAAATATTTAATAAAGGCACTCTCATAATTAACTGGGTGCATCATCCCGACACACTGAGATATTGTAGAACTAAAATCTGTCAAATATTTACCGAAAGCGTTACAACATACTTATAGAACGATTTTAGGCATTTTAACAAATTTTTTAGCATGCTTTTATAATAAAGTGTCAGATTAACTATTTTATACGTCACTATTTAAAAAAAAATGTCCTATAAACATAGTTGTCCTATAAAAAGATGGGTTTATTGGACACTTCATAAAAGTATCATATAAAACAACTAATAGGAGGAAAACTTGTTAAAACGCATAAAAGCGTCATATAAACTCATTGTAACGCTTTCAGATAGAACGTTTTATAGTTTGATTTCATAAATTTAAGTTAAACTATAAATTATTTCTAAGCTTATAACTGATGCTTGAAGATGTGAAACATAAAATGATGCTTTCCAGGTTACTTTCTAACTCAAATAAACTTATTTGCTTCCTGCATCAAATAATAGATTCATATTTCTTTCTAACATTGAGTAAGTTGAAAAAAACGTTAAACAAATCTACTAACGATAGTTGGAATTCTGAATAAATATTTAGGGGCCGTTTACTAAACGCTTATCCAGTAAGTGCTAACTGGGTAATTTTCCTTACCGGATGAACATGACAAGGGTCAAAAATCATACTTGGTAAGAACAATAATAAAGATGAAGAGTCTTACTCGGTAAATGAAGGTGACGACTATTACCCGGGTAAGTGCTTACCAGATAAACTCTTGCATACGATATCATTTTGATGTACTACAATCTTACCCGTAAAATAAATTACAATATTGACTCATAAAGGTAAGAACTTACCGGGTAAGCATTTAGGTAAACGGCCCCTTGAAAAGTCAAATAATGATTTGGAATATTGGATTTGATTTTGATGGATTCAAGCCGTTTTAGATCTAATCTTAGCTTTCTTTTGTACAACTTTTGATTGCATTGCCGTGTTTCCGATTACCATTTTTCAGGCTTCCAATTTCTCCCACGTCTCACCTAGCTCGTTTGACCAGTTTAACGATTCTACTTATAATTGCCGAACATTTGACAACCTGCTAATCCGCGGGCCAGTATGCTTAACATGGGAAAGCAAATAATTTTGTGCGCATGTAGAAGCAACAAAAAGCACACAAAACCAATAAATTATTACCCCATAAATACTTTCCAAATCTTATAAAGACATTTTTGTAGGGGTGTCTCATGTTATGTCTGGACTAATTTCGGCAAATTGTGACTGTAAGAAATCAGTCATAATAAACTCAGTAGCCACAGTTGTTGTGTAGACTTGGAATGAGAACCATGTATAATGAAGTTGATCACAATTGACTTTTTCCAATAAGAAAATGAAATAAGTATTTGGCTTTATATGCAAAAACAAACAAGTAGAGAAACTGATGCGGGTCCGGATGTGGAGGAGCGGTCCCTATTGTTCTTGGAGGGCCATGATCGGGCTACCAAAGGGGATACTGATTAAAAGACCATAACTCTCGCTCTCGTTCTTCGTTTTTGGCCCATGACCAGCCGACTCGAAACCTGGAGAGAGGAGCATGTTGTTTAACCAACTTTTTAAGGCCCAAAAGCGTTGTTTAAACATATATATATTTTTTGTGTTTTTTAGTCGTTTCTTTCAATTTTTTTTGTTGGGCTTTTTATGTCTGCACCATAGTCCTTTTGGGCCCATTTCAATCTGGACTTCTTATTTATATGCTTCTTTTGTAATCTGGATCGTCATACTTGAATTTGACAGACTTTGAATTTTCTTTCCAAACTTGGATTTGAAGCCTATGTTCGGTATTCGTCGAATCAACGGATCTTAGAAGCAGTTATCCATGGGTGGGGTATTCACAGAATCATCGTGGTAATCTTTGTTTTCCTCATATCTGCTGTATCAGAAACTGTTTTGCTAATGCAGTAACTCAAACGTGATATGTATTAGAAGTTGTACTTCTTGTTGCTTTCTTCTTTGATTCCATCTATAACCGAAGCCATTCATGATGGGACTATTGATCGATCAAAAGTCGTAGATCCACCTCATTATCATCGTGAAGAAATTTTCAGCTAATATTCGGGGTTAAAAGATCATCGTCACTATTTCTTCATCCAATTTTACAGGGAATGATGGTTACTTCCAAGAAAAGCAACAAATATAAATAAATGCAAGTAGAATGTTACCATAATTTAAGGAATTTTAATTTGTTCGGAAAATTGGGAATGGATATATACACATTATATCTATATGTATTCAAGGAATTTTAATTTGTTCAGAAATTTGGGAATGTATATTTACATATGCATATACATATATATACACTAGAAGAGTACTCGCACAATGTAGCGAGACACATCTCGATTTTAATGTTTTATTTTATTATTTGTCTCTGTCGATGTTATAATACGGTTTTATGTGTTTTTAAGAAATCAATAATGATTTTATTTTTGAATAAAATATAAATTTGAAGATATCATAAAAATTTGAAAAAAATATATATTCAACTATTTAAAAGTTCTCATTTTTTATGTAATTTCTTTAATTTATTATTTTTTATTATAATTAATTTAAATTTAATAACAAAATAATTTATTTTTGGATTAATAATATAATATTTTATAAAGATAATGATTAAGTATTCTGTTAGAACTCAATGATTATCGTAATTATATTTTAAAATTTTTATATTTAAAATGAGATGTTTATCCTGTTTTTGATTTGTTTATCTGCAGTTAGTTACATGAATTTATATATGGAGCTTTAATAAGTTGAACTTACGCACAATCTACTTGTAATCTTGAGTTTTAAGTAATTTGCATTAATAAACAGTACTTTACGCATAAAAAGTGGTTTTTAAGAGTTTTTGTCAAATGCTTTATAGCATAGTATAGATATGTATATATATGCATACATACATATAGAGTCTGGTTCAAATGTTAACCAAGTTTATTGTGTTAACTTTGTTAACCATTTTCAACCAATGACAATCCATCTTGTGTATAGGTTCATATTCATCTTATAATTTAATGACAAGGGTAAATATGTAATTTTTTTATATAACTCCCATATCATTAATTGAGAGTTCTAAAATCAAAAAATCTCATGATTTTTGTTAATTTATTGATCTTATTATTTTATAATATTGATTTTTCTATCTATAATGTTTTTGAATTTGTGATTGGTAGAGGAGACCCGGTAGTAAAGTTTTTGGTATCGTTCAAGCTATTATTGATAAACCCATTGTTCATAATGAATGAATTATTGTTCACAAGTGTTTATATGTACACTAGCTGCATATCTCAACATTGGTTCGAACCTGAATGTGTTCATAATGAACAAAAGCTGTTCATATTGTGTTCATATTTACACTAGTTGCATATCTCAACATTGGCTCGCTCCCGAACGTGTTCATAATGAAGAAACTATTGTTCACAAATGTTCATATTGTGTTCATATGTATACTAGTTGCATATCTCAACATTGTTCATAATGAAGGAACTATTGTTCACAAGCTGTCATATTGTGTCATACCTATTTTATTTATTTATTTCATTTTGTGTAGCAGCTATTCTTATTATGTTCATATTGTGTTCGTAAACGTTATACAGTCCAAGTTCGTATATGTGTCAATTTTTGTTCATATTTGACACAATGGTTCATATATATATAGATGTGTTCATATGGTTCTTACATTAACAAAAATCATGTGATTTTTTGATTTTGTAATTTCCAATTAATGATATGGGAGTTACATAAAAAATAAAATTACATAAATACCCTTTCCACTTAGTTCACATATATTTGTGAAATTGTAAATTTAAAAAATTAAAATTTTAATATGATAAATCACAACTGTTTATTGTAAAAATCAATGGCTAAGAACCACAAGGGTGGTGTATGATTGGTTTAAGCTTGGCTCCAAAGATCAAAACTACCAGGAGGTCCCAGGTTCAAATCTTAGGAGGGATAAAAATCTCCTTGTGGCCACAGAGGTTCAAATGCGATGACTTTGGGCTATCTGCAAAGCAGGTGGTCGTCCTAGGATTAGTCGGCTCGCATAGCGAGTTGAATATCCAGGTTAATAAAAAAAAATCCATGGCTGAGATTGGTTAACAAAGTTAACATAATAAACTTGGTTAACATTTGACACACACACACACACAGAGATACAGATATATATATATATATATATATATATATATATAGGGTTGGGTTCACGTGAGACCAATGGTTTTTCGTGAGACCCGTAAGACCAATTTATGTTCATTGATCAACTTTAAAAGTTAATGATCTAATGGTCTTAATTGCACGGTGACAATTTTGTAATTATTGAGAAGTCTCGTGGCGTTTATGAATGTTTAGATTGTCAGATTGTAGATCTAATCCAAGGGTTAAGAATTGGTCTTACGGGTCTCACGAAAAAACATTGGTCTCACATGATCCCAAGTATATATATATATATATATATATATATATATATATATATATATATATAGATGAGCGATCAAATAAAAACAACTCCAATTTGTAAAAACCGTAAAAACTACTCTCATCCGTCGTTAATCTTATGAAATTTTTTCATGAAATTGTTAATCTTGTGAAATTGTTTCATATAATACTTTTTTTTGATGAAGTTGTTTCATATGTGGTTATGAAATTGTTTCATATGTGGTTATGAAATTGTTTCATATACTACTTAATGAAATTTTAATGAAACTGTTTCATGTATTTCTCTATAATTAAAATAATGAAGATGATAATATCTATGATTAACACCCTCCACAATAAAAATGGTTAATCAACCTCTCATAATTACAAAAAATGAACAAATTGAAAAATTATGATCGGTTGAATAAGGTTTTCACGGTTTTTACAAATTGATTGGTTTTTATTTGAACCCATCCCTATATATATATAAGACCAAGTTGTTTTCATGAG